CACAGCATCTGCAGCGCCCGCAGCATCTGCAGCGCCCGCACCATCTGCAGCGCCCGCACCATCTGCAACGCCCGCAGCATCTGCAGCGCCCGCAGCATCTGCAACGCCCGCAGCATCTGCAACGCCCGCACATCTGCAGCGCCCGCACCATCTGCAGCGCCCGCACCATCTGCAGCGCCCGCACCATCTGCAGCGCCCGCAGCATCTGCAACGCCCGCAGCATCTGCAGCGCCCGCAGCATCTGCAGCGCCCGCAGCATCTGCAACGCCCGCACAATCTGCAACGCCCGCACCATCTGCAACGCCCGCACCATCTGCAACGCCCGCACCATCTGCAACGCCCGCAGCATCTGCAACGCCCGCAGCATCTGCAGCGCCCGCAGCATCTGCAGCGCCCGCAGCATCTGCAACGCCCGCACAATCTGCAACGCCCGCAGCATCTGCAGCGCCCGCAGCATCTGCAACGCCCGCACCATCTGCAACGCCCGCACCATCTGCAACGCCCGCAGCATCTGCAGCGCCCGCAGCATCTGCAACGCCCGCAGCATCTGCAACGCCCGCAGCATCTGCAACGCCCGCAGCATCTGCAACGCCCGCAGCATCTGCAGCGCCCGCACAATCTGCAACGCCCGCACCATCTGCAGCGCCCGCAGCATCTGCAACGCCCGCGGCATCTGCAACGCCCGCACAATCTGCAACGCCCGCACAATCTGCAACGCCCGCACAATCTGCAACGCCCGCACCATCTGCAACGCCCGCGCCATCTGCAACGCCCGCACCATCTGCAACGTCCGCAGCATCTGCAGCGCCCGCAGCATCTGCAACGCCCGCACCATCTGCAACGCCCGCGCCATCTGCAACGCCCGCGCCATCTGCAACGCCCGCACCATCTGCAACGCCCGCACCATCTGCAACGCCCGCAGCATCTGCAACGCCCGCAGCATCTGCAACGCCCGCAGCATCTGCAGCGCCCGCACCATCTGCAGCGCCCGCACCATCTGCAGCGCCCGCAGCATCTGCAACGCCCGTACCATCTGCAACGCCCGCAGCATCTGCAGCGCCCGCACCATCTGCAACGCCCGCAGCATCTGCAGCGCCCGCACCATCTGCAGCGCCCGCAGCATCTGCAGCGCCCGCACCATCTGCAGCGCCCGCAGCATCTGCAACGCCCGCAGCATCTGCAACGCCCCGCAGCATCTGCAACGCCCGCAGCATCTGCAGCGCCCGCACCATCTGCAACGCCCGCACCATCTGCAGCGCCCGCAGCATCTGCAACGCCCGCAGCATCTGCAGCGCCCGCACCATCTGCAGCGCCCGCAGCATCTGCAACGCCCGCAGCATCTGCAACGCCCGCAGCATCTGCAACGCCCGCACCATCTGCAGCGCCCGCAGCATCTGCAACGCCCGCAGCATCTGCAACGCCCGCAGCATCTGCAACGCCCGCAGCATCTGCAGCGCCCGCACCATCTGCAACGCCCGCAGCATCTGCAGCGCCCGCACCATCTGCAGCGCCCGCAGCATCTGCAGCGCCCGCACCATCTGCAGCGCCCGCAGCATCTGCAACGCCCGCACCATCTGCAACGCCCGCAGCATCTGCAACGCCCGCAGCATCTGCAGCGCCCGCACCATCTGCAGCGCCCGCACCATCTGCAGCGCCCGCAGCATCTGCAACGCCCGCAGCATCTGCAACGCCCGCACCATCTGCAGCGCCCGCAGCATCTGCAACGCCCGCAGCATCTGCAACGCCCGCACCATCTGCAACGCCCGCACCATCTGCAGCGCCTGCACCATCTGCAGCGCCCGCAGCATCTGCAGCGCCCGCACCATCTGCAACGCCCGCAGCATCTGCAACGCCCGCAGCATCTGCAACGCCCGCAGCATCTGCAACGCCCGCACCATCTGCAGCGCCCGCAGCATCTGCAACGCCCGCAGCATCTGCAGCGCCCGCACCATCTGCAACGCCCGCAGCATCTGCAACGCCCGCACCATCTGCAACGCCCGCAGCATCTGCAACGCCCGCAGCATCTGCAACGCCCGCAGCATCTGCAACGCCCGCACCATCTGCAGCGCCCGCACCATCTGCAACGCCCGCACCATCTGCAGCGCCCGCACCATCTGCAGCGCCCGCAGCATCTGCAACGCCCGCACCATCTGCAACGCCCGCAGCATCTGCAACGCCCGCACCATCTGCAACGCCCACAGCATCTGCAGCGCCCGCAGCATCTGCAACGCCCGCACCATCTGCAACGCCCGCACAATCTGCAACGCCCGCACCATCTGCAACGCCCACAGCATCTGCAACGCCCGCACCATCTGCAACGCCCGCACCATCTGCAACGCCCGCACCATCTGCAGCGCCCGCAGCATCTGCAACGCCCGCACCATCTGCAGCGCCCACAGCATCTGCAACGCCCGCACCATCTGCAACGCCCGCACCATCTGCAACGCCCGCAGCATCTGCAACGCCCGCAGCATCTGCAACGCCCGCAGCATCTGCAACGCCCGCAGCATCTGCAACGCCCGCAGCATCTGCAGCGCCCGCACCATCTGCAACGCCCGCACCATCTGCAGCGCCCGCACCATCTGCAGCGCCCGCACCATCTGCAGCGCCCGCACCATCTGCAGCGGCCCGCACCATCTGCAGCGCCCGCACCATCTGCAACGCCCACAGCATCTGCAGCGCCCGCAGCATCTGCAACGCCCGCACCATCTGCAGCGCCCGCACCATCTGCAGCGCCCGCACCATCTGCAGCGCCCGCACCATCTGCAGCGCCCGCACCATCTGCAACGCCCACAGCATCTGCAGCGCCCGCAGCATCTGCAACGCCCGCACCATCTGCAGCGCCCGCACCATCTGCAGCGCCCGCACCATCTGCAGCGCCCGCACCATCTGCAACGCCCGCACCATCTGCAGCCGCCCGCACCATCTGCAGCGCCCGCACCATCTGCAGCGGCCCGCACCATCTGCAACGCCCGCACCATCTGCAGCGCCCGCACCATCTGCAGCGCCCGCACCATCTGCAGCGCCCGCAGCATCTGCAACGCCCGCAGCATCTGCAATGCCCGCACCATCTGCAACGCCCGCACCATCTGCAGCGCCCGCACCATCTGCAGCGCCCGCAGCATCTGCAGCGCCCGCACCATCTGCAACGCCCGCAGCATCTGCAACGCCCGCAGCATCTGCAGCGCCCGCAGCATCTGCAACGCCCGCAGCATCTGCAGCGCCCGCACCATCTGCAACGCCCGCAGCATCTGCAACGCCCGCAGCATCTGCAGCGCCTGCACCATCTGCAGCGCCCGCACCATCTGCAAACGGCCCCGCAGCATCTGCAACGCCCGGCACCATCTGCAACGCCCGCAGCATCTGCAGCGCCTGCACCATCTGCAGCGCCCGCAGCATCTGCAACGCCCGCAGCATCTGCAGCGCCCGCAGCATCTGCAACGCCCGCAGCATCTGCAGCGCCTGCACCATCTGCAGCGCCCGCAGCATCTGCAACGCCCGCAGCATCTGCAGCGCCCGCACCATCTGCAGCGCCCGCAGCATCTGCAACGCCCGCAGCATCTGCAGCGCCCGCAGCATCTGCAACGCCCGCAGCATCTGCAGCGCCCGCAGCATCTGCAACGCCCGCAGCATCTGCAGCGCCCGCACCATCTGCAGCGCCCGCAGCATCTGCAGCGCCCGCACCATCTGCAACGCCCGCAGCATCTGCAGCGCCCGCACCATCTGCAGCGCCTGCACCATCTGCAGCGCCCGCAGCATCTGCAACGCCCGCAGCATCTGCAGCGCCCGCAGCATCTGCAACGCCCGCAGCATCTGCAACGCCCGCAGCATCTGCAGCGCCCGCACCATCTGCAGCGCCCGCAGCATCTGCAGCGCCCGCACCATCTGCAACGCCCCGCACCATCTGCAGCGCCCGCAGCATCTGCAACGCCCGCACCATCTGCAACGCCCGCACCATCTGCAACGCCCGCACCATCTGCAACGCCCGCACCATCTGCAGCGCCCGCACCATCTGCAACGCCCGCACCATCTGCAGCGCCCGCACCATCTGCAACGCCCGCACCATCTGCAACGCCCGCACCATCTGCAACGCCCGCACCATCTGCAACGCCCGCACAATCTGCAGCGCCCGCACCATCTGCAACGCCCGCACAATCTGCAGCGCCCGCACCATCTGCAACGCCCGCACAATCTGCAGCGCCCGCAGCATCTGCAGCGCCCGCACCATCTGCAGTGCGACTAGCCACGGCCGCCTATTTTTAGCAGAGCCCAGCGCCGAGACACTTCTAGCCGTAACGCGTCTGGTGGAATAGCACCCATTGACTAGAGTAGCCGCGTTCGCTGTGAAAGCAGCGGCGCAGCCGTAATCCGGCCGTGCCGTAACACGGCCGTGCCGTAACCCGGCCGTGCCGTAACACGCCACAGGCGGACCCGGTGGAATCTAGGGGTCACCCTTCGGCGGCCGCGGGGGCTCCGTCCTGGTCTCCGCGAGAGGAAGCATTGCCGGAGATTCTGACGTTTTGGGGGGGAATTGTGTGACGAAAGAAATACAAATATTTGGAATTCCAACTGTGTGTATGTGTCATCAGTTAGAACTGTTTCTCACATATCCCCCGCACTGTGTAGCCGGCTGCCTCTAACCTGTCGGTTAGTAGCCAGCAGGGCTCGCTGCAGAAGCCAGCTGTTTTTAACCTATGGGTTAATAAACAGCAGAGCTCGCTATTTAAGCCGGCTGCCTCTAAGCTATGGAATGCCGTTTAAGCCAAAATTAAATAAATAAATACATAAATAATTAAATAAATACACATATATATATATATATATATATATATATATATATATATATATGCCTATGAAATAAATAAATAAGGTTATGAAATTCATTCTGAAATAATTAATGTGAAGGCTGAGGGATAAACTTCAAAAGAAGAGAGGAAACAACCAGTTCTCCTATTGCGATGTCGAGAGGTTTAATTAGAGCAACACTTCTCCATCTACGAGTCAGAGAGAGCTCAACAGAGCGGCTGTAGCGATGGCGGAGGGAGAGGAGGAGGTGAACTACGCTTCGGTTGTTTTCAAAGCCGGCAACAATCCTCCACCTGCGGGTAAGTTTAGTTATTTAACAACTTTCACTTCCTGCTGATGATTTTGAAACAGAGCCTCTTTGTTAATGTGATCAATGCAATGTTGAGTACTTCAATCCAAAGTAAATTGCTGTTTTTAATGTCCTTTAATTTAACTGTGAAACCAGAAACATTTAGAGAAATTGTTAAAAGGCTGTTTTTGTATTTGTTTAGTGGTGAAGAATAGATTTGTAGCTAACCCAGCACATTTGCATTGATGTTTTTCAAAATCACAATGTTGAGTGTAAACCTTTCACTACAAATGAACTAAGAAAACTCACCATCACAGTCGTGCATCTATGTTTTAATAATATTTGTTTTCTGGGTTCATCAATGAAAATATTTGGTAGAAATAAGCCTTCTTTGTTCATGTGTACTACGTTGAAAAAACACTTTTTAATCTAGAGTAGTTTGAAACCTTTGAACACCTCATCCTACCTCAGTTTAACTTCAATTAATATTTCTTCTCTTAAAAAGATTCAAACTGATGGTCATTTGTTGGGTATTTTAATTTACCGACTCACACTGGAGATTATCGGGCCGATAATTATCGGTCCGATATTAGGAATTATGACGTCATCCCGATAATCCCGATAACAATATTAATAGCCCCGATAATATACAATATATTTTTTGGGTAAAAAAAAAGAAAAAAATACTGCGGTGTGGGTGGATTGGGATGAGGGGCGCTTGTTTTTCACTCGGCTCCTCCCGTTTTGCCAGTACTTTGGTATTAGTGGTTTAGGAAGAGGGGAGTTCTTCACAAATCCAGCGCTCCCTAACTCATGCCTGGCGTAAATGGTGTGCGGCCGTGAAGCCAGGACAGTAAAAAAACATGTCGCCGGTAATATGGGACTATTTCAAAGTTTCAGAGTTAGATAGTTCGCTTGCTATTTGTATTAACAAATGCAATGCAGAAGTTCCACGAGGAGGGAAAAAGGCAACGAGCTATAATACTTCCAACTGATTAGTCACCTGAAACATCGCCATCGCTACGATGGTGTGTTAAAAGCGTACGAAGACGCCTGTGCTGCTAAACTAGCGGCGAATCCAAAGCCAGCTGTAGGCTTTTACCTATCGACGAGGCTTTTGAAAAAGGCAAGAAGTTTGCCAGAGACGACCCCAGGGCTAAAACGATCTCTAACTTCATCATAGAAATGATGGCGCTTGTCGGGAGTCAAAACTGTTCTTGGCTTTGTTTTGTTCATAGTAGTAATGCTCATGTCATTTGCTCACTACTAGTCTTTTTTTTACCACCAGGTGTGCAAAAACTACAGGTACATTTAATATATATATATATATATTATATTATTATCGGTTATCGGTATCGGTATCGGTCTTGAGAAGCAGGAAGTTATCGGTACCGGTATCGGTTTCAAAAACCCAATATCGTGCATCCCTACTGGAGATATATATCATCACAAACTCATCTATTTAAAACCAGTGAGGAAATTGCGAAGTGAGCTAGTTATGTGTTGAGAGTTTCCCGTATCATGTCGCTTCCCTTTTTAAACGGCATGACACAATACCTGAATACAATCTCATCATTTTGAATTTTCCCTTTTTAAAACTGTGAATTTTGCATCATCGTACTGTAAGGCAATTCTTCTGCTATATCAAACAATGAAAACAGCCTTTTAAAGTCCTTCTCATTTATTCACAAAAAACCTGAGCATGTGCATTTCCTTTGTCCTTTCAGCAAAAAGAGGGGAGGAAACTGTGTACGGTGAGGTGAAGGCGCAGAACGAAACAAAGAACGAGGGTAAGTTGTATTAAAAAAAAGCATTCAGGTGTTACTGCAACTGGGAGTACTACTGCTACCACTGCTACCACTACTTTACCATAACTATCATTAAAAGGGAACAAGTTCACAAGAACTGTTCTAAAGTTTATATCTGTAGTGCTTTGTCAGTAACCCTAGCACTCTAACAAAGCCGTAACATATTGGGAGTGTGCAGTGTGACAAATGTCAACGTCTTGCAGACGGGGCATCCTGGTCTTATGAAAAAATGATGGTGGAAAGCTGCACTGTCTTTTCTCCCGTTTGTTTTTGACATATCAAAAATAGTTTATGATCGTAGTATGCACAAGTCTTTATGTCAATTCACTGACTTGAAGTTACAAAAGAGTACTTGCTAAACCATGACCTTTTACCAGTGTATTCTGGTCCTTTAGTAAAACTACTGATATCATGCTGTAAAATTATCCTTTACAAGTAGAAGTACAGCATTAAAAATGTTACTTGAGTAAAAGTAAGTAAGTATAAAAAGCCAACTGTACTTAAAAACATCTTCCGCAGACTGAAAACTCATCTCTTTCGACTCCACTTCGAGCGATAGAATTACTAACAAAGCACTTATATACTAATAAAGGGCTGGCTTATCTATAGCCAGTTGAGTAGCACTTGAAATGTTTGGCTCTATGAAACCTGATGTACTTATATGATTCTGTTTTTCTTCAAGGTTGTGTCTTCTTGGTCGAATGCACTTATTGAAAGTCGCTTTGGATAAAAGCGTCAGCTAAATGTAATGTAATGTAATGTTAAAATAATCATTGTACATGACACAGAAAAGTTACATTTTTAAATAATAATGCATCTGAATTATTAACTTACTATAAATGTAGTGGAGTAAGATTTATGATACCTTTGAATTGTAGTTGAGTTAAATCGCACAGTGGCATGACAAGAAAATACTCAAGTAAAGTACCTCAAATTTGCCCTTAAGTACAGTTTGATTAAATGTATTCAGTAACATTCTACCACTGCCTTTTACTAAACTTTATCAAGTGGTTTTGTTGCTTTTTACGGGGGTTTTATCTGCAACGTTATTAACGTGTTAAAAACTGTGAATTAATCTGTGATTAAATATGAGGTTCGTTTTTAGGAAATCTCTTCCGAACGGTTATTTAGAGATTGAACGTTTGTGTTGTACTGCAATAATGTTACAGTGACTAATACTCAACACCTACCGTAACTCTCACTGAACACTTTTAGCAAAGTACTTAAAGCAGTTTCTCAAAACACAATGGGTTCACAACTCTTTAAGTCGGCCCTTTAACAACAGTCAGGTAACTGTTTAAATATGTGAACAATCGTTCGCTGTCAATATCACTCCTTTTGTTCATTTAGGCCATTTCTCATACAATGTAAGTGATAGGGGACCAAATGCACTCCTTTGTTCTGAACTGTATTCCAAAGTTTGACTGAATAATATAAGGTTCAAGCATCTGAGTTAGTCAAATCAACTTGGTATCCTTTCCTGTCTTTTACCTTTTACTCTCATGAAAAAAAGAAGATCCATCTGCATTTACCATACTGTATACTGTCCTTGTTGAAAAGTGACAGTGTAAGGGAAACTTCTGCAGCAATGGAGAGTCAGGACTCAGAGAGACACGAGGAGAGTTGGAGCTTTGATGTCAAACACTGATGTTTATTTACAAGTATCGGCCGGAGAAATTCACATCACAAGTCACACAGCCAGAGAATCTGACTGCCCTGGCGGGTTGCCATGTCAAATCTGAGCAGCCTATCTCTCGATAGACCTTTTAACTAGTTTACAGAGAGTTAATCCACATATTGGGGGATGGTGCGTAAACACTGGGAACACTGGAGATATCCCCCAACATCTGGAAATACTCAATCACTTTCCTGACTTTTAGGCTCTGTGAGAGTTGACCGGTCATTAAACTGAGAATGCAGCAGCACATTCCTTACGGGAGATAACGAGTCAGGGTTGGTCGTAAACGTCAACACACAGAAAAGGTTAAATATCTAGAAATAAAGACAGAAATATTCTTTGACAGACACAATATCTGTACTAAAGAGACTGACACTTTGAAAGGTACCACTCTTCATCTGGAAAGTTAATGTGATTAATTTGTGTTGTTTAGACTCAGCAGGACGTCGGCGCTTTCAGCACTTGGCTTGTTGTTTGGGGATTCTCTGTGTCATTCTGCTGGGTGGCATCATCGGAGTCTGCGTCTACCGTAAGTACACAAAACAGGAAGTGCATTATCTCACACTTAGACATAAGACAAACCGTAAAGAATAGTAGCAGCTGTTTTATCTGTTTACACCATTTGATATCAGTCATGTACATGCCAAACGACAATGAAAGTCTATCTAATGTCAATCTATTAACACATGTCATGTGTCTTTCATGTTACTGAGCCTCTGTGAAGTTCTGAGTTCATCCCACTCTCTCTACCCACCAGCGCTTGCTATTTCACAAATGTGTGGCTTGAAGACTTCTCCATTTCACTCCTCTCTTAGTAATGTTGTCCTCAAACCACAGTGACAAGCAGTTCCAGGCAATGTGCAATATCAATGGGTCTGAGGATTGGAGAAGTCAGAACACTTTGAGACTGACTGAGACATTTTTAGTTTGAGTCTAAAGACCGGAAAACCTAAAGTGAGACTGACAGGAAAAAGCTTCCAAAAGAGGCAAATTGACAAAAAACTAAATTGCAATATAACCTTGATTATAAAAGAAGCTATACAAGCCTATACTGTCTAAGAGAGCAACAACAAAAACTTGTCTGCAGGAGTCCAGGAGCTGAACTCACGAAACCAGGAGCTGGAGAAAAATAATAACATCCTAACAGAGAAAATACAAGACATGACAACAAACAGGAATGAGCTCAACATCAGTCGAGCTCAGTGGAGCATCGATTCCTACTGCAGACAACCTGACAGTAAGTTCTGAACCCATTATTAAGGTACAATAATAATAATAATAATAATAACAATAACATTAATATAACAATGCAGTGATGTTGCTGATTGTATGGACTCTGTTATTTCAGATAAAAAGTGTCAACCTTGTCAGAAGGGTTGGACACTCACTGAGCCCAGCTGCTATGCGTATAATGACGCTCAGCCTCCTAAACAAAAAACCTGGGAAGAAGCTCGAGGAGACTGCAGAGGAAAGAATTCAGATCTGGCTGTTGCACATGATTCAGATGAAAAGGTAAACCCATTAATATGATGAAATAAAGAAAGTAATTGTGTTTTGTGTAGGTTTGAACACACTTTGGGTCTTTAGGTCATTATGTGTTTATTACAGTTTAATGTTTAAATATCTGACAACTCTCTCTCTGTTTTCCAGGAAGCAATCAATACTAACAGCTTTGGATCTAATGGATTCTGGATTGGTCTGAGAGTTAAAGATGGGAAATGGAAGTGGGTGGATGGAAGTGATCTGACTGAGAGGTAAGAGACACGTTACTAAACACTTTGAATACTAAAATGTATCAGCCTTTATCTAAACATCATGTTCTCTCCTCAGCTCCTGGATAGTTCCTCCTGCTGACGGTCGCTGTGCATTGTTTTACACGGGCAGAAACACATGGTCATCAGTGAGCTGTGGTGCAACACATCAATGGATCTGCCAGCAGAAGGCTCTCTCTGTTTAAACAAAGCAGTCATACTAAGAAGGTTACTGGAAACTCTTTGAGAAACAGATGAATTACTTGTGAATAAAAACAAATTTCAAACAAAAATATAAAACAGAAAAAGGATAAAAAACATTAATTCCAGAAACGTTTCTCAAACTGGATACAAACAATAAAACACAAAAGTTAACTCATAATGTGGATTATTTTAAAATCGATGTACTTTCAGTTTGACTTAATTTCTATGGAGCTTGCTAAATTAATGCAAATATGTATTTCTTTAACATGTGATGGTGTTTTTATTAGATATGGATGGTTAAAATAGTTAAACTGTTTAGTGTGAATAATGTTATTCTATTGTGTTAGAGATGCAACGCTTCAACTCTGCAGATTATTGCAAAGACTATGGACCATTTTATTGTATTGCTTCTACTGGCCAGCAGAGGGCGCTGCATCACTTGTTCTCAATACAAAGTTCCAGAGTCTGTTAAATAACTATTTTTCAAGATTCAAAGGTTTATTGTCATGACATTTAGAAACTACGGTGTGATTATGTAATGTATAAAACATGTGATCTCAGGTTCCTTAACAGTGCAATTAACAAGACATAAGAAATACATATAAAAAACAACAATACAAATAGAAATAGTGCAAGCTCAGGTGTTTAATAGTCTGATGGCCAGTGGGATGAAACTGTCCCTGATGCTATTCTGACGACGCACAGTTTATGGATGATTTTGATCTATCTGTATTTGTGTCTATGAGCAATCTCTTGTTTTACCCTGAGGATGTTGTTAACGGAGAGAACCTCCCCTCTAACGAGGTTTCTGTGGTCCCCATTAAGGCCCTGTCACACTGTCCCGAAATTGACACCCGATGGACACACGATAAAGGAAATGTTCAAATTCGGCTGTGATCGTAGCAACATCGAGCCATTCGTGAGGGCATCTTAAGCCATCGTATGACCGCCGGTGGAGTTTCTCAGGCTCCGGCAGCAACTTCGTGAGCGGCAACTTCGTAAGGCACTCGTGAGGGCATCTTGTCAAATCGTGTCATCTTCGTGTTATCATCGGTGCCATCGGGCATTCGCCCTCACTCTGATTGGGGCGATTACCCGATGGCACCGATGATAACAAGATGCCCTCACGATGGCCTTACGAAGGGCAAAATTGACACACGAATTCAACACGAAAATGAACCTTCGCAAGGTCCTTCGGCAATTTTTTGGCATGCCAAAGATTTTGCCACCGCTCACGAAGTTGCTGCCGGAGCCTGAGAAACTCCACCGGCGGTCATACGATGGCTTAAGATGCCCTCACGAATGGCCCGATGTTGCTACGATCACAGCCGAATTTGAACATTTCCTTTATCGTGTGTCCATCGGGTTGTTTTATTGCACAACAAAATCATGTAAATATATTATGTAAATAACCCAATTTGTGTTCTGTGAAACTAAAAAGGATATAATATATTATTTTGAAGGACAGTTGACAGGAAGTTGTTGTTGTTATGGAAACAACATTACGGAGAAAACGTAATATGTTCTACATATAAAGATGGATAAAGTAAAGAACAAAGTCTGAAGATATCAGTACAGTATCATAGTACTGTAACATAATTGTTTTTGGTACTTTCATTGCAGTTGTATGTCTTAAATGTAATGTAAATGTTGCCTTTGTGTGTGGTTCTGGGCCCTCTTCGTGCGAAATTCACAATTCCATATTCGTGTGTCCATCGGGTGTCAATTTCGGGACAGTGTGACAGGGCCTTTAAGGACTTATTGACCTGTCAGGAAGGGATGGCCTTAAAAATAGCTCCCCATCTTTCAGCTGCAGCCATCGAGCCAAGTCACTTTGATAAGATGAAGGTTGGTCTTGCTCTAAATGTGTTCAGTAAGGCTACAAGTGCTGGGCTGAAATACATGGTGCAGCAAGAAAACCGCCCTCTGTCATACCTGATGACAGCGTGGTTCCTGGAGCAGGTTGATCGTTGGTTTGATCTGATGTCATCTCGCCATCCAATTACAGCCCTGAGCAGGCTCAAGATGGAGGAGTACCAAAAGGCCATCACCTTCCTCCAGAATATCGTCCATTTGTTTCGTGGGATAAAGATAGGTCAAAAGGGAGGTTGGAAGCCTGGTCAAACAGGGGTGATAATGGCAACAACATCAATTTTGGCCATACAAGAGGAGATTCTTACACAAGGACACAGGTTTGTGTTAACGTCAAGGTTCACACAAGACTGCCTTGAAAATACATTCAGCTGTGTGAGGTCTAAAAATCCTGTCCCAACTCCAGTGGAATTCCATCATGCACTGATAATCATATCTGTGGGGCAGTTCCTCACCACCATCAGCTCTGGGAGCTACCAGGAAGACCACAGTAGCTTTTTGGCAGACTTCCTGGACACAGGGGAGCCAAAAATCACTCCATCAGTCAGAGTGGAACAGCTGATGGCGGTGAACAGAGCAGCAGCACCTGACCTCACAAAAACTGAGAAATGTATTCTCTTCCATCTTGCAGGCTACATCGTCCACAAAATCATCAAGTTTGCCAGCATCTGTGAATAATGCAACATTGCAACAGAGCACCATGATGAGAGTCCTTCTGGTGACAACAGCTTGTTAGTGGACTTGCAAGACTTCAAGGCAGGTGCTCTTTGTCGTCCCTCCCAAGAAGCCTTTGACTTCATTCACCAAATTGAGGAACTATTTAGGACCAAGACTGGTTCCTCCCTCATGCAGCTCCCCAACGCAGTGGGTGTCTTGGAGAAAGAAGCTCAGGCCCTCTCCAGCAGGCTTCCGTCATGCTGTGGAGTACAACAAGAACTCGTAAAAAGATTCATACGGCTGAGGCTGAGAATTGAGGCCAAACAAATCAGAAATGACAGAAAAAAAATTAAATTAAAAGATGGTCATTTTGGAAGCAAGAGCCAATCCAAAAAGGTGAAAAGGAACAACAGCAGCCAAGCTACCACATCCAGCAACCCCCAAACAGATCCACAGCTGCAATCATTTCCATTAGCCGTTGCAATGGAAATATTTGGACTAAACATTGCTCTTCCACCTGCCAGCACCCAGCTAACATCACTGCCCCTCCACCCGTAACATCACTGCCCCTCCACCTGCTAACATCACTGCCCCTCCACCCGTAACATCACTGCCCCTCCACCCGTAACATCACTGCCCCTCCACCCAGCTAACATCACTGCCCCTCCACCCGTAACATCACTGCCCCTCCACCTGCCAACATCACTGCCAACATCACTGCCCCTCCACCTGCCAACATCACTGCCCCTCCACCCGTAACATCACTGCCCCTCCACCTGCCAACATCACTGCCCCACCTGCCAGCACCCAGCCAGAGGAGCGCAAACAACAAAAACAAGCAAGGTGTCCCGTCATGTACCTGGAAGTTTGGGTTGGCAAAATGGAGTAAGAGAGGGACTTGAAAAACCTTGGTGGCTGTCTACTCATGTTGTTACAGTTGTCTTGGTTACAGCTCTCAAGTTTTTTTTGTTGCCATTTCCACATCTTTAGAAAATATGAAATAAAAAATTGAAGTGAAATCAACCTCTTCTCTAGAGAACAAACTTTGATTTCTCTGTCTTGTGAGTTTGCAGTCTTGCAGTCTTGCTCCTCCACCTGTAACATCACTGCCCCTCCACCTGCCATACAGTAGGTTACTAACAAGATTACTTATATAATACAGTGATAGAATACATGTTTAGTATGCTTACTTATATAAAACAGCAGTATTAAACTTACCTTGTGTTTTCACTCTCACTTAAGTTCCTCTCCCTTTGCCATCAATCCAAAATCAGCTGAGCTGCAACATTATACAGACAGGTAATAATCAACATAATCACAAGGACACAATATGGCTCTGCTAAAAACACTCACTCTTACACGCACCAAAGTTATATTTATCTAATATTTAACTCCCTCCACCCCCGCATACAATCCCGTTTAGAAGCCCCTCTTCTCTAATTCAACAACGTTGGACGAAATGACATTAAGAGAACGGAATTTACAATTAAAAGGCTGTTCAACGTGTGTTGCTAACTTGCTTCGGTATCCTAGCTTAATCTGTTATCTGTAAACGTTCCCTAAATCTACTAATTTAGGGATAATCCACTGACATCCTTTAATACACATGTTAATTTGAATCAGATGTACTGATAATATCCGCAATATCAATCTTTAAACTTCTTCTTACCTTTAAAAGTCCGTCACGAACGGTTATTATGCTGCAACTCTACAGCTCTGCTAGCCTTGGCGCTAACTTCCGGGGAATGATTGAGAGGCTCCACGATCCGCCATTGCTGTAAAAAAGTGGTCCATTGGAGTGAACGGAGATGTCGTAACTCTTCTATTATATGGCTCTGGTTTCTCTTCTCTACTCAGACTGCAAGCAAGCAATATGTCCTTTTCTGCTCCTCAATAAAGTTTCCTTTTGCACATTCGATGCACCGCCTCTGACTCCTATCTCTCGGCACTACACTCTTATCTTATCTTATTTTGGTGACTGGTTTTTGGGGCCTAGAAATCCATTGGAGATCCACATTGCAGTTAATATGATTATATAATTAAGAAATCCAATATGTTGGATGTGTGACTCTATTAAAACCCGGTGAAAGGGCCGCTTGTTTCAAGTTCCGGTTGAGACTATTTGGGAAGTATCAACATGACATGAGAACAGGAAATTAAAAAGATGCCATCTCCACCTCGAAGTAGAAGTCTACTGAACCGTCACATCAGAGAGACGCTCTCATCAGGACTGCAGCAGGACTTTGTTCAGGATGAAAGGCAAAATAATCGAGGATATGGGTAATTAAAGAATATTCCAGAGTTTATGTGTGTGTGTGTGTGTCTAAGATATAATCTATGATATGTTTTTCTTTGCCTTTACCAACATGGTTTCCTTGTATGACTATATATGCGTAAATTGCTTTTGAGGCTTGACCACTCCCTAGCAGCAAATTATTTTAAATATCCAATATCATTTAGGGGGGCGTGTGGCGCAGTGGATAGAGCCTTGGTGTTGGTCACAGGTTCAAACCCCACTGCAGTCAGCATG